ATTTCGACAGTTTTCGCCGCGCCGCCGGTGCGGGGCACGGCTGGGGTGGCTGATAGATGGGTTGTTATCTTTCAACGGCACTTGGCGTCAATGGATTTATTACCGTATTCGTATATAAATACACAAATATATTATGATAATATGTATAGGCGTTTAAAAGGGTGCTGCGCATATTTCTCTCTGTCTCTCTCCCTTATTCTGTGTGTGTGTGTGTCTCTCTCTCCCTCTCGACAGGTCTCGCCCCCCCCCCCCATTTCTGTGCGTGTCTCTCTCCCGTAAAATAGCTCCAGCCGCCGCCGTTTAACGACAAGTCACATGTGCGGTGCGCGCCGAGGAGCAATAATTATACCCCGCGGTCGCCAGTTTAAAGTGTTTTTAACTTGAGATTTATGGCCTGACGGTGTCGTGTTGGGGGGGGGGGGGCGAGAAGCTAAGCCAGCCAGCCCTTGATGTCGTTATCGTTGTTATTGTTTGGTTGCTGAGAGAGCCGATTATAATATACCTTAGTTCTCCAAAAGTATTCCCAAACCACCTTCGCGCCCCGTGGACCTCCCGAAAAAATGTCCACGTTTTACGAGTACCCACCTATTTGTTATTATTGTTTTTGTATAGTTTACGGCATTTAAACGATTTGTCATTATTTATGAGTTCTTTTTTTATCCTCTACCTATATGTTTGGAGTCAATATAGTTTTCATCTTTAGCCCGGCAAGCCTAATTTCAGAAAACGGATTGTTTTAGTTTTTGTACTTTTGTGGGGTACATGTTCAGTAAAATGTTACCCGTTGTTGGTTTGTTTCCATTAAACATAATATAAGAAATGTTAAGTTTGATTATATTACTAACCGTATTACTCCCTAACTATTATTGTTTGTTACACAATAGGTGATGTTTGTGACAGAGAGAAAAATAAAATATCTGAAACCTTGATAATATTGTGTGAATTTGTTTTCGCTTATTAAATGTAAACTCTATTTCGAAAAAAAAGATTTAATTTTTTTAAAGTTCCCCTTAATATTCGACACAATCACCGTCCATTTTTATACATATAAATCGTTTGGCGTCTACATTTTTTGGCGATAGTAAGCGACAGCAACGGCCACCGAGGTATCTCGACGGATTTTCTGGCCGTTTATCCTACTCGTATGCGATTGGAGTTCTGCGGCTTTTGCACAACAACGGTCGCACGTAATTCGCGACGGCTTTTTATCTCGTCTAACAAACGCGTTCGATTGCCAAAAAAAATAATCCCACCCCCGAGCAGAACACCGAGAGTCCTCTTTCGAGCCTTTCTGAGATCGGACTCGGCATCGCAAGCACAAGCGACGATTATTATTATTGTTCTTATCAGACATCAGTTTGTAGTCCTCCGTAGTCGGCGAGATCTCATTCGTTTACAACAACAATATTACTATTATTATTGTTGTTATTATACGTTGTTGTAGAGCTGTGCTACGCCGTTTGTGTTCTTATCTCCGGAAATCAAACACCCTGCCAGCCAATCAACGCGAACTCGGTTTGGTTTTCGCGCACTAATATATTTGATTTTAATACGTGTGACTCGCGCTGCGTCTCACACGGGACAAACCACACACGCGCGGCGCGCAAAACCTGTGAGTAATATTATGTCTGCGGATTAGTAATGTGTTTGTAAACATTATTCGTCCCGTCAGTCTTTTGTCGCTTTTAAACCCCCGCGGAACCATGATGGGGGGGGGGGGTTGTAACGTATACTTTGACGGAGACGACGGACGGCGCGGCGGATGTTCGCGCGGAAATCATACATTATGTCAAGCTCGGTGTAAACATGGTAAAATATAATAATAGATTACCGACGTTGTACGACACTATGTAGGTACTTGGAGGGATTCATGTGTCGGTGAGTTAGGTTGATTTTTTTTTTCTTTTCAACGACACTCGTCCGGACGCGATAATCGAATGCGAAATCAACTATCTGCGTCTTTGCATTAGCTCTGGTCGATTTTTCGCAGTGCATTTTCATACGTTTTCGCATCGACACGGCAATTTATTTTCCACCCAAAAGTAGTATACATTATTATAAGGTTGTATAATGTTTATAATATAATAAAGTGTATTATTATTATATTATGTACCAATGTGTAGGTACATACCGAAGGTACACGCGTTGTCATTTTTACTTAGAAATATGTTCCATCATTCGAACAACTTCTTGATTACGCTCTGGGCAATTTAACATAGCACACATTATATGAGATGTGTAATTTCGACTCGAAACCTGTTTGAAAATAGTTTTTTTATTTTTTCTCTTAAGACTTTAAGTGAGACTCTTTAGTGTGCATCATAATTAATTCGACCCTGTAACTATTTCATACATCCTGTAATCGACAGTCAATACCAGTAGTGCATTTTCGATTCATAGTTTATAGGCACTTATGTATCATTATTCAACCCATTAAGTGATTGAATTCCCTAGGTTTCGCTAAACCGGCTGAACCATAACCTATAAAATGTAGTGGAAACAAATTCCACATATCAACCGAGTATTTGTTTTAATTAACGTTTTATATTATCTGCAGCAAATTAAATATGATACAAGCACATTACATAATACATCAATTTATATATGCTCTTTTTTTACCTCACCCAGAATTTAATAACGGTTTTATTATAATTTTGAAAAATCAAAACAAATTATTCGATGGTTAGCCATTACTCAGTCCTCTACAAGATACCGTTCAGTATAATAGAAGAATATTGTGTTTCCTTAAATGCTCGTGTACTGAACAGACTATAACACGCGCGTGCATATCCATTATGTGTACCACGTGTCGTATCGACTATTGATGCGGACAAAAACACCCTATCAGACCATCAGACCGGAGAGTTACCGAGTTTGACTCGGCAGGTCAGACTAAATGTTGGTAGATTAATTATAATATTTGATTTGTCCAACCCATTTTGACGGGGTTTCGTGCTGGTAAAACTCGGCTGGCCCGGTACTTGCCCTATCCGGCTCAGCCGCTCAGGACACTGTAGTTTAAATTAACTATGTATAAATTCATTAGCAACTGTTCCCATAATGACGTGTTATAACTTTTATACCATAATATAATACCCGCCATAAACGTTAGGTAACGTTGAGTACCTGTACAGAAAAATAATGCAAAACACACACAAACACATGTTTAGTGCAATTAAAGTTAAAAACAAAATGTCGATTAATGTCGAACCACTTAATTTTATTATTAAGAATAAAGTCGAATTTAAAAAAAATATAAATTACTACACTCACTCGTTTACTATAGTAGGTACCTATATAAATAGTTTAAAATTGGTGCGTAGTAAATATGTAGTTACCTACCCATACATCAGAGAACAAGTGAATTCGTTTTTAAACTAGAATAAACGTATTTGGATTTAGGTTTACGTATACATTGCACCTATTGCACTCCAAACAGTTAAACTAGTATTTTATTTCATGAAATTCCATTAGCTTTATTATATTTATAATTATATATATTATTGGTTGTTTAATTTAGTTTATGACACAGCGCCGTTAGATTTTATCACTTTTTTGTTATCTATTCGCTTGTGGTCCATCTAACATTTGTATAAATTGATTTTTTTTCCATTAAAAAAAACCACTTTTATAATAGGGTTGTACGTTTTCCATGTCGTATACAATTTGTGTCAAATCTCAAAATAGGTAGTCATTAAAGTAATAAAATAAACACTTTTATGGTTTGAACCACGATTATACGTCAATATTGAAATTTATTTAGTAATATATAAACGTGTAACGACACTGTATACTATATCATATATTTTTATAGTGGTCTGATATTTTGTCAGAATAACACAAGGAATGTTATTTTTCGTAAAATATATTATGCGTAGAATATTAAAACTAATGGTCGTCGTCATATTTCGTAGTGATGAGTTGCGTCGGTTCGCTTCCCCTCTATAATTTTGACACTCGTTTGCTTTTATTTTCTTTCATTGTACCTAATGATTTCCATCGCATATTTACTTCAAATTATATAATATTACTAGTATTTTAAAAATGCTTTTCGCCTTCGTCGGTTGAAAACAAATTTTCGTTTGTAAAATATTATTTAATCATACCTAGTGATAATATTTTTAATATTCACAAAATATATACGACTAGATGAAGCTACGTAATTTACGAATGCTGGTTTGTGTTATTATAATCTCTATCGTTACATTGATTATTCTCAACTTTTTCAGATTCGTATCTACGTACTATTATTTATTAACATAATTCGTGTATAATAACGAATTTAGCTCATTACCTCTATGATGTTGTTATATAAGCTCTTTGATTTTCGTTTAAACAATATATATAAATAATAATGGAAAAAAAATAATTTAATAGTTATTACCTCCCACTTGACTCGTTTGAACGTGCGAAAAAATGTGTTTACACGGTCCAGTATAATAATATTACTCATATAGGATCATTTTACTGCCGACTTTGGGGTGTAACCGATAGGTTTTTGACTTTGATCCGAGTTCATACAATATCCGGGGCTGCCGACTGGCTTGTACAATAATGGCGCTATCGTCGTATGCGGAATTCGATTGTATTGAACGTGCAACGGTGTGGGGTTTTAATAACCTTTTTGAAGTTATTGAAATATGAAGCGCGAGACGCGTATACAACAAAACTGAATGATTATCGGGTGTCAATAATGTACCTATTATTATAGTATATTTTTGATTTACCTACGCGTCGCTACGATTTTCGAATTTTGGCCGACCTCTCTCGATTTACCGGCTTACGCAGGTATCTGTAGATTTCAGCGCGAAATCGTGAAACCCCCAGACACGCCATATTATATTAAATGTACGTAGATATACTTACTATATAATACCTCGTACCTATCATATTGTATATCATTACGGATAATAAAATCGCGGTTATACTATTGAATGTCGTAGTCTAACCGTATTTTAATTATTGTATGTTTGAATTAAACCGTTGTCGTTTTTCCACAGTGTCAAGAGACCCTGCAGCCCGGCGACATGGCGGTGACGGCGAGCAGAGTCGGGTCGGGAGCGGCGTGGCATCCGGCGTGCTTCACGTGCCGCGTGTGCAAAGAGATACTCGTCGACCTTATATACTTCTACAAAGACGACCACGTGTACTGCGGTAGACATCATGCGGAAACGCTCAAGCCCAGGTGTTCGGCTTGTGATGAGGTACAGTGTATACACAATATATTACAATATTTAGCACGCAGCCTTCCGTTGTAAATCTTTATCCGCGCGCAGTCATGCAGACGCGATGGTATACCACAATTTTTCTTCTCACTCGTATTATGATATTATGTTAGGTTTCATCCGTCTACATGCCTATACTTTGTCCGCCGATCAAAAATGTCAACCACCCACCAAGACGCCATCCTAATCCTCCCCTAATCGCGTCTTATATTACGAGATGTCTGTATACAATGTCACGACGATGTTATCATTCTATGGTGGTTTGTAAAGAACATTATAATAGTTACTCAATAAAAGTAAACACCGATTTGGAAATAACAGTGAAACAACCATTTTTTTTAAATAATTCATACCTACCTATAGGCTATAGCAAAAAAGTTGTATAGGTAGTGTTTAAAAAATAATTGGATCTTCAAAAACCTTGAACTGTAAAATAAACATAAGAAGCAAACAAATTCTAAAACGGATACGTCTCCAAAATATTACCTTCTTCGATTTCACAAAAGTGTTTTAGCTTTAGAAATTTCTTTAGAAGCAGTAATAAGCTGCATAAAAATGTATCACCGAGTTTTCTACATCATTTCGTAATCCCGCAACAATCACAACAAATCGATTCTAGGGACTACATTTAAAATATATTTAATTTGTATTGAAATTTCCCATGAAAACTCATTAAAACTCCTAGTTATTTCGACGAAACTATTGTTATTGCGATAGTTATTATGATATTATGTTTTGTTACACAAAATATATCTCGTACATGACATTATATAAATTATACACAATGTTACGAGTTAATTAGCACCCAGATAAACCTTCTTCTTCTTAGGCTTATAGCGGTCCATTCAGGACCATCGCCGCTTCTAAAATGCCTTTCCACCTCTGTCTATCCAATTCCGCTCCCATATCTAGCAATGGATTGATTAACCTTACGTTATTTAATATAATATTATTGTTTACATATCACTGCATATACTTGAAATCATTGTTTTATGATGTGCTCGCAGATAATCTTGGCTGACGAATGTACGGAAGCAGAAGGTCGTGCTTGGCACATGAAACACTTTGCGTGCTTGGAGTGCGACAAACAGCTCGGGGGCCAGAGGTACATCATGAGAGACGGCCGGCCTTACTGTCTGCAGTGTTTCGACGGCCTATTTGCCGAGTACTGTGACTCTTGCGGCGACCCCATAAGCGTGGACCACGGTGAGTTTTTTTTTTAATAAACAAATTATCAGAATAAACTATTTTTATACAAAAACGGTGGTGGGTAAAAATTAGATGGGCGAATGAAATTAGTTGTCGGGGGCTGCGTCCCCCTGAAGTCCAAACTTACAATGTTCTTTTATTGATCGATTTGCAGGTGATTAATTAATGAGTTTTAAATATGTGTTGTATTGACTGCTTTATCGAGCCATTATTATAAGATAAACGCGCGAAAACGTTGAAGAGTAAACAACTTTCGTATGATTATGTACACGTCTCCCGAAACCCTGTGAGGTTAAGTACCTACCCAGTAACTTAATTAAACATTCTCGAGTAACTATTGAGTTTAACAGATTATTTTTTCTATTTTAATCGTGGATTTATAACGCGTTTTCGCATTACCTATGTCGAGTTGAAATCAGACAGTCAATCGTCGATTTTTATCCATCCGTTTATATCTATAGTCAGTAGTCAGCGCTGCAAAAATACTAAGTATATTTTAATCTCGATATCGATATATACGAGTATTTCCAACTCGGTGAATATAATATTATTATACATGTGCCGACTGAGATTCCACGTAATGTATAATAATAATTATTAATTATTGCCGAAATTCGAGTGAAAACGTGCGCACAAACGCCAACAATAACACTTCAACTTTTGAGTTTTGATGGTGAAAGTTGTGAGCAATGCTCTGTGAATCGGAACCATTTTGATATCATATAAGTACAGTTCACCTCCGCACCTGACACTCATTAGTACAGAGCGATATTGCGTATAGGTATGCTTTTCTACGGGTATACACGACAAGCGTATGACCTAAACCTCTCACGCACGCGAGAATGTCGAAATCGAAAGTAACGTTCGTATCATAATTCATAATATTTTATTAAAACATATTGAACTACAGCAGGGCTCAGACTTTTTTCCGGTCGATAGCATTGTGTTCCATAAGAATGGCTAAGAATGAATAAAATTAGAATTTTATTTTTTATTCCCTGCCAATACGCTGCTCACGTTTTACAAATTCAGGTGCATATTTTGTTTTTTTTATGCATATTTTACTAGATGCATTTTAACTATAATTACTTTGGTGGCTGTTTCTTAGGTACCTTTTAATCGTGTCTATCCATTCACGGCGTTAGTTTTGAACGTGAATGTATGGTTTAGACTTTTAAATTTAAAAACTAAAACATTATCAAATAAAAATGAACGAAGTTACGCGTTTGCGGGATTTTAAAACTTTATTTAATTCGTCGTAACAGTATATTTTATTGCTCGGTCCGAATGTATTTGTATCTGCACATTATTGTTTTATATAGCCATGCAGGTAGCTATATAGGCAAATGTGGATTTACGCTCATATTTAATCGTGTGTAAAAATAAAATAATATAATAACAAACACGCCGCGTTAAACTTTGCTCTTGAAAAATATTTCAAGAAAAGTTGTTCGTACTGCGAACATGGCTTATTATAATAATATAATAAACAGTATATATAACATAATGTTATCGAACATACCATCTATCTACGTATTAATATTATTCTATATTATACATAATAATATTATAATAGTCGATACGAATTTGTTTCCATTAAAAATAGCGTTCAAAAAAAATACTGCTCTCCTCGTTTTCTCGTGCTTATACGCGACTTCATACTCACTGTCGCGACGACTTGTATTCTACTCATATATGTATAGTTGCGTTTTCAGAGACTAATTCAAATACCCGCTTTTCGTATACACGTAACGCATATTATTAATATATACATACACCTATATAATGTATATTATATGCTTTGACCGCGCAGAGACTCGAGAGAGACTGTTGCCTGTTTATACCGCCGCACATATTATGCCGCCCGTATTGTAAGTTTAACTATATACTCGCTGCTATTGTGTAAATAACGAGTCTCCCGCACGCTATATATTTACACGCTTTAATACGTCAGATACTCCGGAACAATACCTTATACGTATTATATGTATACATAATAATAATATAGGATACGTTATACGGTATACATATTAATATATTGTTATTATAATATTATTACATTAATATGTAGGTTAGATTACTATTATACTGCACGACAGCGCCGCGGTGTATAGGCTACACAAGCTACACAACAATCGTGAACAATTTATTTTGAGCAATAGTATTATTATGGTATACTCTAATATTATTATCACAGTACGTTGTGGTGGATGGTTAGCATAATAGCATAACATGCAGCTACATCCTTGCCGAAAATAACGAGCGAAATATTATGATAACAATAATAAATTATTTTTTTATTTATTTATCCTTGGTATGTCTGGAAACAAGGCTCCATGTTCAGAGTATGCAGCTGCATGATAATAATAATATGTCTGCAGACTTTGGGGTGATTATTTTAACGTCAAAGTTGGTTTCGAAAAACGTTGATGCTTCTAGTTTGAATCCATTTTCGAAAATTTAAAATAATAATATTACATGTAACGTATAATCACACTACGTCATGATGCCAAAATACTCACCGCAGTCCCGACGTTTCATGTACTGCCCTTATTTTTTTTTACACCATCGTATTATTACACGTGTTTTTTGTCCACCCAAAACGTAGCAGAACATTGCTAATAAAATGTTAATGCGTATAGTTATATTATGTAGATATCGAATATTGAACAAGTAGCTTTTTTAATTCTTATCTATTTTCGTCCGACATTTTGGGCAAAATATTTTCTGCTCGATCGTTAAAAATTTTAAAACTCTAGAAGTTCGCCATTTAAACTTAAACCCTGCAGCACTCAGTGATTAAACCTGAAAATATTACAGCTGCGAGTAATACCTATATTATATAAATATTGACTCATATTTTACGGAAAAAAAATTTCTATAAATCTCATGACATTTTTGAATACAGCTAAGAGAAAAACATTCCTCAGTGAATCGCCCTGTATATATTGTGGTACTCGGCGGATTAAAAAGAAAGAACATCGAGTTATCTGGGCAATACAGACGTCGAATTACTCCAAGCAGCGCGGGTTCGTTTGTAAAAACCCGTTTTGTATTATTATATTATTATATTATATTATATTTTATTATTAAGAATACACCGTGATACAAGATATCCGTGTTTTAACGACGACACATAAAACATTATAATATTATTATTGTTGTTGTAATATATTATATTTATTATATATAGGTATGTGTATAAAATAAAGAAGTGAAACCTTTTAAAGAGGACACCCGTGAGACCAAAAACAAAATCGTTCTTCCCGCGTATACTCCAACGCTATATAATATAATATTATATTATTTACACTGGCGGCGGTACGGATGTATAAATTCTATGTTATGGTATATCTAGGTTTTGTTTTTATCGCGTGAGCGTACAAGACTTTCCGTTTGACTCATTATTCAAAAAATGTCTCGGTCAATATAGACCGATTTTCGATAAATAAAAAAAAAACAAAAATATGTTTCTATATTACACACAGCATTACACTACCTATCGAGTATCTGTAAATCTGTAACCTTACAGCATATACCTAGATTATTCAGTTGTAACTGAAATCTAGAATTCTTTTCTTAAAATATGTCGATAATTAAATTTAATCGGCACATCATCGACGAGTCCAACAAATTTATATAAAATTAAATCCGTTTAACGTTATTTTTTCTTAAAAATAATAGATACCTATTTACAGGGTGTAAAATAGATGCCCAAAACTGATCAAGCTGAACTAACAGCCATAAAGCCAACTCACAAAAAGTTATGCAGAGTCCTTTCATGCGACAAAAGTTTCATCCCTATATAACATATCGTATATAATATAACTACTAAACCCTAAAAAATCATTACATTGAGATAAAAACATTATAATGAATTTGAGGTAATAGATAACATTTTTTTTACATACTTATATAATATTGATGACATTATTTGACAATCAGTATGAAAAAATTGATGCAACGATAATTTTATTATCATAGTTACATTGAAAATATATTATTTTAAAAATGTTGTTACATCTATTTCATTTTTCTTGGGCAGTTGGCAATTTTTCCATTTGCCTGCCCATATTGTCATATCGTATATGATATATAGGTACGCTCGTCTTGAATACTACATTTCTGCGGCTAGCTATTTTCTATTGAAATAAATTATAATAATATAAAATACCTATCTACTATCTGATTATCGCTAAACCTAAACGTTCCAATATACATTGCGGTAGGTCACACACACATTATACTTTCAATGTACGTTCGCATATAATACAATACATCAGGGGACTCGAGAATTCGATATTATCAGCCGCGACCGTACCTAAACGATTTTATATTGAAATAAAATATATGCTCGTGTGTATATAGATAGATCTAAATATTATATATTCGATATTTCGATTTGTTATTATAATCGTTGTATATATATTTTATATACGGGGTGATACGTGTAACGAAATACAGTAATATTATTATTGCATAAAACACACTAACGTTTTTAAAAACATTTCTTTTACAAATAATTCGTATATAGTTGTTTTAGGAAAAAAAATTAAGTGGACCAATACATTGCAATTTGCGGAATATATCCGTACCACTCCACTACACTCGTCTAAACTTTAAATACTTATACCACAAAATCCCGTTTAAAATTTAATTTTTATAAAAAATGTTGTTTTGTAACGACTTAATATCATATACATAAATAATAGTTTTTTTTTTTAAATAATGAGCGCGACTCGCGTTGTACGGATCACCCGGTATACGCAGTTCTATACATAATATAATATTGTATACTCGTGAGTATAAGCTTGTGTTGTGCATGTATATAATAATAATAATAATAATAATAATACGGAGTACGCACTGTCTGTAAGACAATATTCAGATTTCTCGTAAATTAATTTCTCGCTGCTTTCCGCTCTCGCCCGCCCTCGCGGCCATCGTTCGACAATCGCACCGCACACCGCGGACATTATAATATTATTATTATTATT